GGTGGAAGCCCCCGGGTTTGGCTGGGCGCGGGAGCCGTCCGTCCGTCCGTCCGTCCCTCCGCCGCTCAGCCTTTCCCCCCCTTCCCGGCCAGGTAGCCCTGCTGGACCGCAACTCCGAGGCTGGGCAGGAGAGCAAGGCAGCCCTGGACGAGCAGTTCGAAGCGCAGAGGACGGTGTTCATCCAGTGCGACGTTACAGATCAGGAGCAGCTGAAAGGTAAGGAGGAAACTGTCAGTGCTGCTGCTGCGCTCCGGCGGCTTAACGTGCAGCAACCTGAGCCGGCCTGGCTGCTGCGCCAAGAAGTGGAACTGAGGCTGCTGGAGGACAGCCTGCACCCAATCGCTTCTGACAGGGACTCAGAAAGGATTTGTTTCTGAACCTGCAGATGGGAAATATCACCACCACCATGAATGTATTTCACCGTGTTACTTGGCACATCATAAAGAAAAGCCAAAGAAATAATTTCCATTGAGTGTTGTGTGTGATATTCTTGTATGAAAGCCTCTGCAGAAGATACTTGTTATTTTATGAGTAATATATATAAACTTTAAATCACGGACTTGCTTTTTATGAGTACAGACTCCAAGCTGCATTCTCTCGTCACAGGAGTAATAAATTCTGGTCTGGGTTGCAGTGCTCTTGCCATGCAGCACACTCACTTCCAACGTGTGCTGCTGTAGCTGAAGGCAGAAGTGGCAACAGCTGAAGCACTTCTTCATTGCAGGCTTAAACACGGATTGATAACATTTCACATACAATTTGCAGATGCAGGGTATGGCAAGGAGCTTCCCTCATGTGTGATTCTATTCCTTACTGAGATCTTGAGAGTGTCATCTAGCGTTGATGTACCCTTCACAATATTTCATAACAAGCACATCACTTCATCGAAGTTTGATTATTAAAGGGATACATTTCTGGGTAGTGACTCAGATTCAGATTTTGACATCTGTTTTGTCAGTGCCCTGTCCCTAAGTTCGTTTATGTCAGGCTAGATGTGAATGTTTTTAGTTCTGCTTTTATTCACTATACTTTACCGGCTGCTTTCTCAACAGTGGTGATTAAGCATATCCATTCCTCTTTCACAAAACTTTGCAGCTAGACCAGAATTCAGCAGTGTTGTTCACTGCTCCAAGCTAGAGTGATTATGCTTAATTCCAAAATTGTATCTTGTCTGTCTGCTAGAGAGCTGCTGAACTTTAAATCCAAGGTCTGGGCTAATCAGCAAACAAAGTTTTCATCAGCTAGATTGAGTATTGACTTTTTCTTCCAAGTAGGAGGGTGCAAGAACAAGCATCCTAGGGGTAGGAAGAGTATGTGCTGCAGTGTAGGTGTTACTCCAGTGTTTTCTCTCCCAAGATTCCTCCTCCCTTTAGTGCCAGGCTAGTGCGGGACCAACAGGGTGTGCGCTGGGAGTGGGAGTGAGTAGGATGGGCCAGAGAGGGAGGTTCTGGAATGAAGTTGATAGGAAAAGAGCAATCAGAGTAGGATTGGCATGGAATCTTGCAAGGACTTAGAGCAAGAATGTTGTTAGGGTCTTTTTTTACTGCTTCCTTTTCCTTTCCTTACTCTTGTAAACTACCACTTAATAAACTTAGATTAATTTCACTCCTAGTGCTTAAAGTGCTTATGGGATGTATCAAGTCCTGTACTTGTTTTTTATGTTAAAGGTCGTGTGAGTGAATGAAGTTCCTCTTATTTTAAGTTTGGTCCTTTCAGTATGAAACCAGTCACAGTAGTAGAACTAGTATCTGTAGGTACGTAAGTCTTATGGGTAGGAAATCAGCTGCTCCATCTACTTTCAAATCTTGCCTGTGCTGTTTTTTTTGGGTTTTTTTTCCAATGGCTCTTTCACATAGTCCCCCACAAAAATCTTGTATCTTGTTCCACTTTTGTCCCACCGTACAATTACTTTTGCTTTCCAGGAATATTTAGGCAGTTCACATAAAAATGGTGTTTGTACTTTTCACTGATTTTATTACCTCTCCTTGAAAATGGATCCTCCCTTTCATTTTTCTTCATTCAGTATTCCATGATAACCTGCTTTTAATTTTCATTATTCCATAAACACTAGCTAATGTGCACTGTAAACACAGAATTAGCCTACATTCAAAAAGGGAAGACTGAGTCAGCTTACATTTACATTCTTAATACACTAATGTATTAAGAATTTATTAAGAATTACAATGAGATTCACCTTTTTGAGGATAGCTAATAAATGGGATTAATGTTGGTAGGTAAGCTTTCACTAGGAATATTCCAAATTGGGTAATCATTCTTTATTCTAACAGATATGCAAACAGCTGAAAAGCCTTTAACTTTTCTCAATGTGTAAGCTAGAAAACTACAATTAGTCAAGACTGCGTGAATTTAATAAACAAATAATTGTCAAAAGTACTATTATCCACGGGTTTTTTTGAAGGTGAAATATTTTATTAAGAATGAGATTGATGAAAGATGTTATTGGGGGGTTGGACTAGATGATCTTTCGAGGTCCCTTCCCACCCCTAGGATTCTATGATTCTAAAGAAGGCTTAAAAAGGAATCAGAGAGCCAGTTTCCAAAATTTGGAAGCTAATTGAGGATCCAAATTGTATTTATGCTACTTATCAAAACTAAGTTGAATGATCAGTTCTCCTCCTAATTAAGCCGAAGCTTTTAATTTGCTCATGCTGATGCAGGACTGGAAAGATGAGAAATGACTGAAGTGCTGAGAAACCAGAGAATGAATTAGTAACAAACATAACAAAAGCCAGAAAGGCAGACAGCCAGAAATAGAGGCTTTAGTAATATTAAAATATTCTTGTAAAGAACAGGAAAATCAAAAAAATCTGTACAATGAAGGCAGTTGAACAAATAAAATCTTTTCTATGAACTGCCCAGCTCTTGTTCTGATGGCAGGATGATGACTGTGGTGTACTTGCAGCATTCAGGCAAAGAAAAGGCTGTAAAAGCACAGTCCATCTCATGCAAGAAAAAAACCAACTTTGTAAGTCCCTGCAACAGCTGCCAAAAAATGGTAGATGTCTCAAAGCTGCTGCTATGTTCCTAACTGACCCTAACACCAAAGATTAAAGATCAGAGAATTAAGATGGTCCTGAGATTGCCTTTTAATACGTGGTTTTATTAAGGCCTGCTAAGCATAATTTCAGTATACATGAAATACTCCAGATTTTTTTTTCTGTCACCAAACAATGTTTTCTAAAGCAATATTGGAGAGGTGTTGTTCTGTTTTATACAGTAATAAGTGATAAGGAACAGTATTTGGAGGGAAAAACAAACAAGCTATATATACATGTCAGATAATGTCTGTAGTCATGGAAAATCAGTCTGGAATGAATATCTGGAAGTCACCTCATCCAACTGTACTGTCAAAGCAGAGCCAGTCTAGATGAGTTTGCTGATCACTATGACATCATAACCTTTTTCTATACATGTATTTTATCCTAGTTCAAACACTGTCACCTGGAAGACTACAGTGTCAGTGTGGAAGTTTCTTGGTTCTTTATTTTGAGATTCTTTGGAAGACAGGTCACTGTTTTCATCTACAGAAGGAAGAAGAATTGGATTTGATAAACACATTATGAAAGTTACCTGACAAGTAGCATATATAACAATTTATTAATAAATGGGTAAATTTAAACAAAAAATATTATTAACTATTTGTAGTTGAAAGATTTATATTAGTTATATCACTGAGTAAGAATTGTGTTCTTAAGTTAAATTCAGGCCAACCAAGAAAATTGTTCTGAAAATACAAAGTTTTTTCATTTATTTAAAAGAGATGGTGCCAAATCTTGAATTCACTATGCTTAACTTATATAATTAGGGTACCAAACTTGGTATCTAATACAAAATGTGTTGTTGGTAAGAACTTTCATTAGCAGCTGTTATCAAGCATTATAAAACTGAGTGAAAAGGTGACCATGGGATCTTAATCCTTCAGTTTTCCTGAATATGTTTAATATTGGTGAATGGTTATAAAAAATCTTTAATTGTCTGTTGCTCATTAGTGCTTAATAAAACATTGACATTTTGATAGATTCATAAAACATTAATTTGTATGCATGCATTGTAATTTTATATCTTATTTTCCATAAGCTAAAAAATTTCACCCTTGGATCTTACTGTAGGGGCTTTCAAAAAAGTAATTGAACATTTTGGAAGGCTGGATATTGTGGTTAATAATGCTGGAGTGAACAATGAGAAGGACTGGGAAAGCACTATACAAATTAACTTGGTAAGCATTATCTCCTTTCACATATCCATACTTTATTTACTGCTAGAATACACTTAAGAGCCCTCGGCTTGTACAGATTATGCCATATGACTGAACATGAATTATAGGATTAATAACCAGAGCTATTGAAACAATAACTATGTAATTGATATGTACTAACCAATAAATATGTGGGAGGTGGGTCTTTTAAGTTGTCTATCCAAGACACACAGCACTGTGTAGAAGCATTCGGGCTAACACCAGACAAAATTCTCTTTCTGTAAAACCCAATGAAATCCCAGGCAGGTATAACAATTTGGCGCACAAAGCAGAAGAGCTGCATCTACAGGAGGGCTTCTGTTTAAGTGTATGTTTTAGAACAATTGAGTTACATGTGAGACTCAGCTGGCCTGCACAGGAGAGTAGTTGCCATTTATTGAAATTATAAAAAATAACCAAGAACTCCGTGTTTTCTTCACCAATGAAGCAAGCAAACAGTCTAATCTTTTCATATTGGCCATTTCACCATCATGGAGAGAAGCACACCACTAGAGCACTAAGAATGAAATAGAATCCTAGAATGGCTAGGGTTGGAAGATACCTCTAAGATCATCTAGTTCCCACTGCCCTGCATGGACAGGGACACCTCTCACTAGACCAGGTTGCTCAAAGCCCCATCCAACCTGCCCTTGAACATTTCCAGGGAGGGGGCATCCACAACCTCCCTGGGCAATCTGTGCCAGTGTCTCACCACCCTTACACTAAAGAATTTCTTCCTAATGTCTAACATAAATCTCCTTCCTATCATTACACACCCTAGTAAAAAATCCCTCCCCATCTTGCCTGTAGGACCCTTCAGGTCCTGGAAGGCCACAATAAGATCTCCTCAAGAGCCTTCTCTTCTCCAGGCTGAACAATCCCAACTCCCTCAGCCTGTGTTCACAGAGAGGTGCTCCAGCTCTCTGATCACCTTCGTGGCCCTCCTCTGGACACAGTCCAAAAGCTCTGTGTCCTTCCTGTTTTGGGGGCTCCAGAATCAGACACAGTACTCCAGGTGGGGTCTCACAAGTATGGAGTAGAGAGGAACTACCTCCCTTGACCTGCTGGCCATGCTTCTTTTGATACAGCTCAGGACACGGTTGGCCTTCAGGGCTGCAAGTGCACATTGCCAGCTCATGTTGAGCTTTTCATCGACCAACACCCTCAGGTCCATCTCCTCAAGGCTGTTCTCAATCCATTCTCCCCTCAACCTTTATTTGTGTTTGGGGTTGCCCAGCCAAATTTGCCTACTTTCTTGCTAAAACCCTGTACATTCAGCAAGCCTGTAAAATTTACTTTCTACCAGTTACTACCAGTTCTTTGATACTATCTAGTATCTCGTAATAGCTGTTCCTCAGTTAAAAATTTTTAATTTAGAATACATTGCTAGGAAATCTAAGCTCCAAAGGAAAGAACAACTTTCTTGGTTAATAACAATCTGACTAGTGTGTATTCTATGACCTCTGATGTTTTAATTCAATGGTGCTTCAGCAAGTCACCCCTATCACCATACTTACAAAGTATTGTAAACTGGATGTGCAAAGAAAGTAGCAAAAGGAAACTTGTAAGACTGCAATGTGGAGTTTTTTCCAACCAGTCATTTGGAATTTGTCAACACAACAAGAAAGGTCACAATAAGAAAATTAAATGTTTGGTTTTGTCAAAGGTTTTAAGGGCAAAGGTATCAAAGTTTTTGAATCCTAGTGCCTCCATGAAAACCAACTAAAAAAAGAAATGAGAGGACAAGAAACATGAGCTGTAGTGGAGACAAATTACAGAAAAATTGAGGGGAAATTATGTATTTGAAAAAAAAAGTTAGATGTAATAATACTTTTTATTGACCTTTCACATCTATCCAAGGTCAAATCTGCTTATTCTTGGAAGGGATTTAACTGAGGCCACAGATTAAAATTTCCACAATAAGAGAAATATTTTGTTTTCAATTTCCTTTACCTTTTCTTTGCATTTTCTTAAAGATTTAAGTACACATATTTCTTCATCCATCTTTCATTTCCAAAATACTCTGATACTAAACATTAGGAAACTTCATATTGTGGAGTTCCAGAAGTGCAACATCCTTGGTGCTATATAACTTCAATATGTATTAATACAGAACCCTTGAATTTAAAAGAAGACTTTACCTGTGTTCCAGATGACTAACTTCTCTTTATTTTCTGCCTGTCTTAAGGATACAGGGTACTGTAGGCAGCCATACACCTGTCAAATTTGCAAGCACAGACAGTTAGCCATTATGTGAAAAACTGAACTCCATGTGTGAAACATGTTTGTCTGGGATTCACCTTTGAATTTAGCTCAAAAATTATGGCATTTCTTATCAGCAAATCTTAAAGGTACTTAACGTCCAGGTAAATATCCTAACTTAAACAAAGGGAAAAAAACCCTCTACGTGTCAGTTTTTCTCTTAGCAATATAATTTATATATTGATACAACAAATATTCCCTGCCCCAATTTAAAGTACAAAGTACAAAAGTAGAGCAATTCACAGCAAGATAAATCAGAACAAATACATATGGGGTGTGTTCTTTATGGCTAAAAGAGTTTACAGAACTGGTTGTTCTTCAGGAAGGTTTTAATAGGAGCATAAGCAAGTTCCCTAACACTCTTGCTTGAGAACACATGAAGAACAGAAATGAAGAAGCAGGTTCGAAAAGTGGAACTTGACTTACAAGGAAAAAGAAGGAGTGGAACACAATTCTTATTTTTATCCTTACAGTTTCCTGAGAGTAAAAAAAGGCAGCTTGATACAGATGTGGAAAAAAAGAGTATCAGCTGCTAAAAAACATATTTCTGCTGCAGTGCTTTCCACCATTTGGCTGTATTTTGTGATAAAAAACATCCACCTTCTTGCTACTTTATTAATATTCCTGTAACTTTTTCAGCAAAGTATTCCAGAAATGTTATTCATTTCTCACCTCAGAACTCCAAAGCTTGCCATATTGACTTGATTGGCATCAGCTGACCAATGGCAGCTCCAACTACTCATATCCATACAAATATAGACTTGTTATTGCAGCATATAAAAATATCTTGGCAACCACACAGAGATTCCATTGTAAAGGGATATTACCAGTATAGCTTCAACAGTCCATCATACACATTATCCACATACAGAATACACACACACACAAAGTATCTTTTGTCTTTACAGATGCACTTAGCATGTTTCACACTAAGACAATCCCAACATTTATTTAAACTAAGAACTACTTAAGCGCAGTTACGCAAAATGCCAATACTATTCCTATGTCCTTGTCATGGTTTAACCCCAGTAGGCAGCAAAGCCCCACTCAGCCACTTGCTCACTCCTCTCCCATTGGGATGGGGGAGAGAATCAAGAGGATAAAAGTGGGAAAACTCGGGTTGAGAAAAAGACAGTTTAACAGGTAAAGCAAAAGTCACATACACAAGGAAAGCAAAACAAGGAATGCCTTCACTACTTCCCATCGACAGGCAGGTGTTCAGCCTTCTCCGGGAAAGCTGGGCTACATCACACGTAATGGTTACTAGGGAAGGCAAAAGCCATCATTCCGAACATCCTCCCCTTCCTTCTTCGTCCTCCAGTTTTATACACTGAGCCTAAAATTTTACGGTATGGAATATCCCTTTGGTCATTTGGGGTCCCAGCTGTGTCCTGTCCCAGTTTATTGTGCACCCCCAGCCTACTCACTGCTGGGGTGGCATGAGAAGCAGAAAAGGCCTTGACTCAGTAAGCAATGCTCAGCAAGAACAAAAACATCTCTGTATAATCTACATTGTTTCCAGTACAATTTCAAAACATAGCCACATAAGGGCTACTAGGAAGAAAAAATTAACTCTATCTCAGCCAAAACTAGCATAGTCCTCCAGGAATGCTGGGGGGGGGGGGAGTTTTGTATGTGTGTGAGGAAGAAAACCACAAAGTGAAAAACTAAACACAGTATTTCACTCCCAGGTTCTGCAAAAGCTATGGATTTCCAGTACATGATCCAATCCTGCTGCACATTCCTTTCACCTTTCTACCTCTCCCTCCTTAAGCTTTTTGTTTTCCACACTTTGAGCTGGAAATTCAAACTCGAGCACCTGCAACATAATTTCATATAGCAAGTAAACTAACCTATACATAGGAATGCCAGGGAACTTGCATGCTTGCTACAACTGGTCTGCTTCCTAGGAAATCCACATTAAAGATGAAATCAGTCCTATCTCCCTGTCCAACAGAAAAATGTTAAAATTTTCCATGGGTATCACTAGCAGCACTTAGTTTCCCACTTGAAGTCTGTCTTACGCAGTTCATGAAGTACTTTGAAATGTTTCCTCATAGATAGCCATCAATTTACAACATCACAGTATGAAAGTCAAATGATCTTGGGTCAAATTCCAGCTCTGTGCTAACCTGCTTTATGAAACCACAAGTCAATGGCTCTTCTATTTATTTATTTATTTATTTTTGTTCAGTATCCCTAGCACTGAACTAATTAGCTCAGAAACCTACATGTAATATCAGGACTGATTACTTGTTACCATTTTTTTCTCTCAAAGGGATTCAGATTGCCTTATCACCTTGATAACAAGAGTACTTGTCTTCAGCAGTGAAGGAATGCAGATACAGTTTCTCAGCATAAAATATTAGCATGTATAAGGAGACAGTAGAAGTAAAAGACAAGAGGTGGCAAAGGAAATCGTACAGTTGAAACACCTGCTTTGAAACAAGAAGAAAAGCAGTGCCCTAAATTACTTTCAAAGCAGTTGTCACTTACAAATGATGACAATTAATTATGTTCTGGGCATCATTACAATAGGACACTTAAAAAAAAAAAAAAAATTAAAAAATCACACTAAAGTGAAACACAGAGTATGAAAATTGACTCACAGGTGTAATGTTGAAATACAAGAACATCGTTCAACACTGGCTAACTCTGGTTCCTAATGCCAGAAAAAAAAAAAAAAAAGAGTTTTGGAGTCTTATTAGAGCCAGAGTTGCAATATATGATTTCTTTTAGCATAGCAAAATTAAAACTATACAGCCATAGCATGTATAGAAATATCAAATATCTCAGCTTTTGTAAGCTTTCTGCTTTTGATGTTGATACCTAAATTGCCATTTAGTAATTTGTTAAATAAGTTACTAATTACTGATAGGATACTTCCAAAAGCAACTGCAAATGTTTTGAGTATTTGTACAATTATTTTGCAGAGTTAACCATGATGTCAAATACTAGGTCTGGATTTATTATTGTGTGGTGCTTCAGAATGGCTGACTTCCTCTAATTTATATCCGTTATTTACAGAAGCTAATACTTTGAGATATTCCCCCACTCACCACTATAACTTCATTGGAAAGAATCCTAAATTTTCTACTGGCAATTGAGGAGTAAAATTGCCTCCTTTGGAAACACACTCAGACCTTCAGTGCACCATGATGGTCCATCTTTATTATGTGCTATAGTAAAACACTGTATTATATATCAAGAAGGGTATTGATGTGCTGGAGCAGATCCAGAGGAGAGCAATGAGGATGGTGAAGAGAATAGAGGGAAAGTCTTATAGGGATAGGCTGAGGGAGTTGGGGTTGTTTAGCCTGGAGACGCAGAGACTTGGATGGGACCTCATCACTCTCTTCAGCTACCTGAAGGGAGGTTGTAGTCACGTGGGGGCTGGGCTCTTTTTCCAGGCGACTAGGAACAAGACAAGAGGGCATGGCCTCAAGCTGCTCCAGGGGAAGTACTTCCTCACAGAGAGGGTGATTAGACTTTGGAATGGACTTCTCAGGGAAGTGGTGGAGTCACCATCCCTGGATGTGTTCAAGGAAAGGCTGGATATTGCACTTGGTGCCATGGTCTAGCCAATGTAGTGGTATTAGGTCATAAGCTGGACTTGCTGATCTTAAAGGTCTTTTCTAGCCTTGGTGATTTTGTGATTCTGATTCTGTGATTTTGATAAGAAAACAAACAGTAGCATCACTAAGATAAGCTTAGTTTTCTACAGCTAGGAGAACAATTATTTAGATTATTTTGTGATTTTAATGACACTAGTTTTCAGTAGCCAGAAGCAAAAAAACTAGGTGAGAGTCAGCTGTCCCAGCTTTTGCTTTACCTGCATCTAATTGCAAATCTGACAACTTTCCTGCTTTTTATGGGCAATATCCATGTTGCTAAATGCAGTTGTAAACAAAGAAATTGTAAAAAATTCAGCTCTAAAATTCAACACACTTTGTTGTGCAAAGTCTTGCAACATATTCTTGTCTTGAAACAAGTCAGACAATTTAAGTTTTAATTAGGTAATTTTAAATGTTAACTTTTCCAAATTTTCTATTTGCAATAGACAAACTATGAATTATTTTTGATTAAGAGCATGAGATTAAATATTATTCTTAAAGTTATACATGGAAAAACTGCACAATCTGAAGACATTTAGTTTCTTTCAGTTTATTGAAAGGCAAATTGCAGACAGTTTTCATCATATCTCAAAACCAGGAAATAGGGCTGCACAAAATGCATCATTCTCTGCCAATTTTACTTTCTACTGTGTATTTCATGACATGGTGAAATAACAGCTGATAAGCTTTCTTCTAGAATTCAGATGAAGTATTCTGGTGTCAACAAATAGGAACTGAAAGTTGCATTTCATATGAGAAGAGCCCTGAGGCTGCAGTTTTTGCACTTGAAAAGATGGATTTCACAACAACCAAACACCAATGCTATTGTTCTTTGGAAAACCTCTTTCCTGGCACGAAGATACAAGTGCCAGCTTCACTTCAACAACTCAGCTGGATCGACAGGCTAGACTGGAAAGTGGCACTAAGACTTCTAGGCACACATTGTATGACTTTCCTAACTACAGTAAGTTCTTCCATGGAGAACTATGCAGAGGACTTTCTCTACTGGAGAGATGGGAATTCTGGCAAGGGTTGGAGATCTATCACACAATGTCTTTAATCTGAAGTGCCATCTGCTGGGTGTGTAGACAGCTAGGTTCTTCTCATCCCATACCTTTGGTTCAGAGTTTATCTCCAGAGTAATTCCTCATGTTCCCAGCCCAAACATCAGAAACAGCCATGTGACTCAAGATCAGCCATGCCCAGTGAGAAGTATTTTGCAAGAATAACAGCAGGTGTAAGGGCAGTATCTGAACAACAGGATGTGCTAATTTTGAAGACAACCTCTCACAGGACCTGCGTAAAAGAGAAGGCTTGCCCATCCATTTGAAGAAATGCTGCTAAGCTAGTGGAATCTAAAGAGAAAAAAAGAGCAGTACAGTGATTTTGATAGGAGAATCAAACCACTCACTTTTTCCTTTCCTTGTCTTATAATTGTGGTTTGGCCAAAGACTCACGTAGGTCTATTATCTCTTTGAATGAGAAGGCCGGAGGGATAGAAAAATCCTCAAGGGGCCCCAAGATACTTCCATCTCCAACTGATTTATT